TAACAAAACGGTGTGGTCGAAAGACGAAATAGAACTTTAGTTGAAGCTCCTTGATTGATGCTCAATTTTGCAAATCTTCCACTTTATCCCTTGGCTTAAGCCGTATACATTGCTTGCTTCACTTAGAATTGTAGCATCATTAATCGACGCCTCAATATGACACCGTACGAAGCCATGAAATGGTTGTAAGCGGAGTATCTCTTTTCTTAATGTATTTGGTTGTCGGTGCCTTATCAAAAACAATTATGATCAGCTCACGGAATTTCAGCCCAAAGCCGATGAAGCAATCTTTCTTGGATACTCTGCAAAATCAAAAGCTTACCGAGTTCAGAATCGTCGAAGTCGTGTTCTTGGAGAAAGCTTTCACGTATGCGATACACCCAAAGACCCTCAAATGATCCAAATTTGGTTTTCTACATGACCATGCTTTGTACGAAATTATGTTTTGTCGTGATTTTTCAAAACACAATTAAGAATGCAGGTGAATTTCGTATCTTAAACTAGGACTCGCGTTTTAAATGCATAGATATTACGGTTACAAATTAACCACCATACGTGATTAGCGTATTTTTTATACTAGAGACAAAGAGAGTGCGTTAGGGAAGAAATCACACTTTATTAGACCATTCATTATACCCATCACTAACCATTATAGTGGTGAGTGCCACATCATCACCACTAACCACCACTAAACATATGAGATACCTACCACTAAACACACAACTCCACCTCATTTTTTAATTAAATTTAAATAAAAAAATACATAAAAATCATATAAGTTTTTTAAATACAAGTTTTTCATTAAATTTAAATACCAAATTACATTAAATAAAAACTACATTAATTAAAATAAAAAAAAACATTAAAAATAAAAATTACATTAATTCAAATAAAAAAATAAAAATAACATTAAAATAAAAAACCTAAAAATACAAAGCATAACTAAAATAAACTACCCCCTATTCCTACGTCGGGCTCGAATCGACTCTTTCATCATGAGAAAAAGATCAAAATCTTCGCCGTCAAGGTCGTCCGCTTTCATTATCAAGATTTTTATATCGGTTTTTGTTTGAAGTGTCGCTTGTGCCTCTTGAAATGACGTTTGCGCTTCAATCATCTTTTGTTCCACCCGACTCATAATCTTGGCCTTGTTCTCTTGAACTTGCACATATCGATCAAATTTCTCTCCAAAATGATCCATAACACTAGATCCCGTAGACATTGAACCCGATTTTTTTGCTTTACTTCTTCCAACTGGCCGACGAATAGGTTGCTCGTTTTCAAGATCGAGCGGATCATCGTTGATGTCGATGTGTGTTCGTCCGTCAAATTGTTGGGAAGTTCAGGGTTTCTTGAACGCTTTGAACCGGAAGAGGTTTGTGAAGTTTCTTCCGTTTGTTGTATCCATTTTGGAGCGTCTTTCAATTTTAGTCACGCTTTCACATACGGAAAAGCTTTGCGGGTTGGCGTTGTTTTTTCAAGTTGGTCCAAGGCCTCCTTGAAGACGTCAAAATCGTTTGACCCGTTTTTGCGTATGTTTTGGAGGTTGTTGTAAATTCCTCCAAATTTTTTGCATTTTAGTCGAATATCGCGCCTCTTGGAGCTAATTTGATCAGGATTTCAAGATTCACTTCCCGTTAACGCATAAAACACTCTTCGAACTTTCTCCCAAAAACAATTGAAGGTTTGATTATCTGCTTCAGTTGGGTCTTGGGAAGCCGAAACCCACGCCTCCGCTAGCTTTACTTCTTCAACTTTTGTCCATGACACCCTTTCTTGGTTAGTAGTGGGTCACTCCGATTTTTTTCCTTTCTTCTGTTTTGGTTGAGGTGATGGTGAAGGTTGGGTTTCCAAAATAAATTTTGGCGAATGAGGTGTAACAACTGGTAAAAATTGGTCAGAGTTCGGCGGTGAAACCACTACGAACCACTATGTGACATCCCCTAATTTCTCGGCCAGAAAAGACCGATTTAATTTATGCTTTTTAAAATCAAATCAGAGAAATCTTTATAAAAGATGTTGCGGAATTGGTCCCCAAAACAAAATATGATAAAAGTTTGTCAAAACCTTTCTTTAAGAAATATATAATTTCATTTCATATCAAAACCTCGGGATGTCATGTACCGATACAGGTCAAAAGCATAAACAAGACATTATAAGCCTTTCAACAGTTATTTACAACTACTGGCCTATAATCCAAAAATCTTTCATCGTTCTTCGACTATGCTCGGGGTCCACTACCTGTAACATAAAAAGCTGAGTGGGTCAGGCTTGGGAGCCTGGTTAGCATATAGGGTTTTCAACCCACAATAATAATAAACTTATTAAGTTCATCAATCCACAATAACCCTAATTACCCGTTCCCGTTATCCTCACTTTACGTCCCTAAACACTTATCACAAGGGACCTAGCCTAAAGAATATCATCGGAATGGACACTACTGCTAAGGGGTTTCCTCAGCCATACATGTCCTGAAGGCAACCATGAGGGGGGTGGAGTACAGCGAATGAACGCTCAAGTTCATTAACACCTACAGGTTGCGGGCCTGCCAGCGTTTCCACTGGACTGTCTAGAAAAGTCCGTGGTCGTCATCCAAACTCCGCTAGATGACTGGATCACAATCACATCGAGGCCTCTCATCATTTTTATTTCATCACACATCAACTATCTACCCATGTTTTACCCAACATATTTGTAGATAAAAATACATATACAGTTTAAAACTTGTATAAAACATCAACTCAACAGTCACCTCAAATAAACAATTAATATATTTACACGTAGCACGTATTTTAAGGTAAATACGTCATATCTATGTGTAAAGTGAAAGTAACTACACACTCACTTTATTTTGATGATAATCGGGCAGCAATTCATTTCCTAAAACGTTCGTTTCTAATAAAACCGGGAGTTTTATTCAGAAACCGGGGTCTGCGAAGGGTTGGGCTTTGAAACCGAAAAGATAAATTTTTCGGGCTTCTCGGGCACTTCGTGGCGTATTCCGGGGGTTATAATTGATACCGGGGCTTTGGGGGATGTTAAAATGAAAGAAATATGAAGAAAGGGGCTAAAAGTGACAATTTCTTAAAAATATCCGAGAATGCTCGCAGCCTTCTATTTATATGCCAAGGCTGCTGATCCAAGGGCTGAGAAGCCTCCACGCGTCAGCAGATCCGAAGAGGGCAGCACCTGGCTCGCACGTAGGTTGCGCATGCGAGGGCCTCGCTGGCATTTTCTTAGTGGACCGAAGTCCGGATCCGAGGAGGGGGACTCGTGGCTCATGCGAGGCTCGGATGCGATGAGTCACTGTACACGCGTCGGACGTAGGCGAGACGACTTTTGATAGCTCTCCGGATTCGAACACGCGTCTGCCAGCTGCTCGGATGACTCAGCCATCTCGGACACGTGGCATATTTTGGGCGAGGGTGACGTAGCCGAAGTCCACGTATGCGAAATTTCCCGGTTTTGAGATTTTTTCTCGATTTTCGCGCCAAAACTTCTAAAATCAATAACTTTCGCATACGAGCTCCGTTTTTTACGTTCTTTATATGCACGCGTAGGTAAAATTACGCTCTAAAACTTTCGTTTAGACTTCGTCGGCTAATTTTGACCTTAATTTTTATATTATTATTTTTAACAGACCGGGACAGGAAATCCGTTAAAAATTCATAACTTCTTCATCCGACGTCCGTTTTCGTCAGACTTTTTACCGTTGTGCTACTATTTACGAGACCTTCGATTCTCGTTTAGGTTGTGTCGGCTGAAAATCAATCGATCTAACATTCAAGTTTTTAGCTGTCTACTGCTAAGCTGAAACTTCGAAAAATCATAACTTCCTCATACGAAGTCAGATTTAGGCGTTCTTTTTATACCTACTCTCGGTTTAACGAACACTGTGAGTTTCGTTGAGATCACTAAGGCTAAAAAGTAGTTTATCAAAAACTCACTTTTTACGACATTCGACACCGTGCCGGTTTTGTCGCGAAACTTCGACATGTCGTAACTTATTCGTTATAACTCGGATTTTGGTATTCTTTATATATCTGTAATCCTTGTCACGCCCACTACAAGTTTCTTAATAGATATCGGCTTTATCTAATATTTATTTTCGACGCTCATTTTTAGTCTTAATTAATTAAACCCTAAGCATAAAACACATAATATTTACATGATTCCTTTTCATTTCTTCAAAATGATTCATAAAGGTTAACGTAGACTATCATGTCAATATTAATGTCTAGCCTAGAAACACGGGCGTTACACGCTATGTGTTAAGGACCAATTCTATGTAAAATTTATGTTTATAATGTATAATAAATATATTATATTCATAGTTACTTTTAGAACATCTCAAACCGCTCAAAACATCTATCGTTGAAGATTGAATCGAAAATCACTAAAAATTAAATTTATTAGTGTCGTTAAAAATAAAATTTTGCATTAAGTTTATTTGAGAGTTATGGATAAGAAATTTGAATAAGTTACGTTCTCCTAATTCCATTGATATAAAAAAACGTCCAAAACGGAGATTGTATGAGAAAGTTACGCGTCATTAAAGTTATAAACATTTGTATTTATCTGATTTTCTTGAAACGAATTATTCACTGCTTCGTTTGGAATAACTACGAGTCTTGTAAACTGTTTTTGAGCCTGTTTTTTTATTCAGATTATGGTATATTATATTATTAATTTTTTATCACATTTTTTAATTTTGACAAAAATCAGATTCGAATCCGAACCAACTAATCACAAAACTTTAAAAGTTGTTTCGGTATATCGGGATTGAATTTCGTCTACGTTTCTGGAATCACAACGACCGAGACATTTGAGCAACGTTTCTGGAATCACAACGACCGGGACATTGAGTTGGCAATTTCCGAAATTTATATACATATTAAAGTTGGACAATCCTTAGGAACAGTATCTAACCAGCTACTGTTCCTCGGGTTCACTTCGTCAACCATGGCAACCGCCTATCACCGTCCCCCTCGCCCAATGACATGCAGTTGCTTCCACCGCTTCTTAGTGTAAATAAGCCCAAATCCAGCGGAAAACGCACCGTCGAGATATGGAATCGCAAAACGACTTCCATCGGGTTTGCCTCGCCTCTGGTGATAGAAGGTCACATCGAAACTGGACCTGTAGATGGTACCGATGTCTGCTTCGGTTCCCCGTTCCCTCTCGCGTTCTTCTCTATTCGATTACGGTTCTACAGATTTCATTCGATTGACTGGTTTTGCTCCAGTTGGTAATTGCTTTTGACTTCGATCCACTCTTTCCTTTTCTACCAACTCTGCTGCTTTTTTCTTCTTTCTTTCTGAAATTGGAACTTGCTCTTCTTATCAGCTTTTCTCACCACATGTTCGATGAAATGCCTTTGAGGCATTCACAACGATTGTAACCAGCTCATAAGGTTTCCTTTTTCCATTGGGGTGTTTGGATAGGGAAAAAATAGCTGCTTATTAGCTTATTGCTTATTCTCACCACAATAAGCTAATTTAAGTGTTTGGATAGGATGCTTAAAAAATCAGCTTATTGTGGTAGGAATAAGCAAAATAAGCTGATTTTAATAAGCAAGGGGGGAATGCTTATTGCTTATTGCTTATTGCTTATTTGTCATTTTTACTCATATAAGCTGTTTTATTTTGCCAAACACTTAAATGCTTATTGGTTATTGCTTATTCCCACCACAATAAGCTAATCCAAACACATTTTAAAAAAATATTTATTTCCACCACAATAAGCAAATAAGCAATAAGCTAATAAGCTAAAAAACTATTTATGAACTCTTGGAATATTAAAGAAAATCTTTTTTGTTTAGATTAAAGCGGAGAAACTCTTGAACCTTTTCTATTTTTTAAATCGATCGAGCCTTCCACGATTGGAGGTCTTCAACCGTTTCGACCCCTAAATCGGTTGAAGGAATACCTGTCGATTTCCAGTTCGGAGGTAAACGTAGACCCTCTTTTCCTCTATCGAGACAACGAAAGCAATACAATACGTTTTCTTTTGCGTTTTTTTAATTTTGATTTTTTTTTCGTTTCCATGTTAACAGCTTCAATTGCGTTTCGACCTGTGCTTGCTCTAGCTATTGGATACACAATATCTAAGGTTGGTTGTTTTGTTTGTTAGATATGCACACCACCTGTTCGATATAATTCCTAAAAGATATAGTGAATTACGGAACTTATGATTTTACTATATTGACTATCTTGCCAATTTCCTCTTAACAGGTGTTTCCAAAAAAAAATTTAGTATTTACATTATTTTAGATCATTACATGATATAATTGATTTTTTAAAGCGAAAATTTCTTTTAATGGAGAATGTTTGTGACATTGTGAAATTTGTTAATGGGGTTTTGGGATTTTTTGCGGTTGGAAGATTAGTTTCTTTGAATTATCAGACTTGATTAAGGATAATGGCTGCAGGATCATATGGAGTTCCTCAATGTGGATTCAGAGATTTCTATGGGGTGCTAATACAATGATGGTAAGTTTAGTATCTTTGAATCTGTACCGTGTGGTATGTAGTAATTGAGAAAGGAATGGAATTGTGCATTCAGGCGGAATGAAAAAAAAAATCATAGGAATGGAAAGGGGAATAAAAAAAATGAAGGTCTTTTTTTGTTCCTTGATGTAATGGGATGATTTATTATAACTATAAAGTGCTTTTATTTTATAATCTTTGTTAATAACAATCTTTTTGAAAAAAGTCTAATGAAATTATTATTTGTTATATTTTTGAAAGCAACTAACATTACTTTTTTATTATAAATGTATTTCAATATTTCATGATATTCGATTTTTCATTTTGTAAACAAATTTTTTAAGTGATAAGTAAACATTTTTCTACTATTGAAATACATGATGTGAAATATAAATATTTATTGTATTTGTTTATGAATTCAATGTCATTTAGTTTTCTAATTGGACACATGTTTGAATGGCTCATTGGTATTGGAATGTAATAAGTCATTCCAATTCCATGGTCATTCCATTCAATTCCTTTCTGATTCCATTCTATTTCCATCATGTTAATTATCTAACAACATTTTATCCAACAGAATATTCCACAGTTTCCTTTACCTACACATCAAGTTGTTGGGAGAGGTGTTGTTCCGGTTGAATTCAAGGTGTTTATAGTAATTTCACATATAAAAAAAATCTCCGTGAAATGTCTATCACAAAGTAAGTTGCTATTTTTTTTGTCAGGATTGTATTGTTGGATCCGATGCTGACAGGTACTCTAATTACTTTTATATCTTGCAAATTGCAACTAAATAAATCTTGAAAACAACTCAAAAATAATTATTGAAATTCAGGTCACAAACTACAATGGAAAAGATGAAATAGAATATGAAGGTGCCCTACGTACAACTTATCAAAAATACATCCGAATGAGAAAAAAAGGTGAGTATATTTATATATTCAGTTATATAATTCTTGTGAAGATTATAACCATGATCCATTTTTTTAGCTTTGGGGAAAGATTCTTCAAAAAGAAAAATGCTTTATAGGCCATTGGAACTAAATGAAGATGATTATGCTCGACTTTGCCAAATCCCAAAAATAAAGGTTTTATTTTTCTTGCTTTATTGTCACATTAACACTTTTTTTTATAGGAATTTACATTAACATTTTTTTTTATTATAGAAATTTACCAGAGGTAAAAGTTGGAACAAATAACAAAGTGGAATGAGACCTTTCAGTTGAAAGAGTCATGCTATCTTGAGGAAAACCTTTGGTACTCTTATTTAAACATCAAATCTATTTATATTGATTAAAGGGTAAATTAGTAAAGAAACCATTACATTATATGGGTTAAAAAAATTCGGTTTTGACATGTTATAGCATGTCAAAGTAGTTAATTTGAAAAAAACAACAAAATTGTCCGAAATATAACGTTTTTTTTTGTAATATGTTTTTTTATTAAATAACTGAATTTCAATTACACCATCAGCTATATATTTTTCATTATATAAAAATGAATGATACGGGTTCCAAATTATGCTATCATCTTTGTTGGTGGAACTTCAAAAAAGTAAGTTTTTATTTTTATTTTTTTTATTATAAATATCTTATTATTTTTTAATTTAATAACTTTGGTTGCTAAAACTTACTAATACAATAAATAAAAAACAGGGCATTTGGTGGTTTGGGAATGGATGATGTTGTCAAAACTGTAGTGGGTAGAGCCGAGCCACATAACGAGGTTTGTAAAATTTTAAATTGCATTTTGTGGTAAGATTTGAGGAAACATGTATCCATGTTTTTCATGATGGCAAGTGTAAAATTGTAAAATTGATTTTCTTTCGACAAATCACTTTGAAATTTCTAAAGAATAGTAATAATTTGCTTCTATTGTAACATAATGGAGATGGTATTTGGCTATTCTTAAGATTACTACCACATCGTGTTGAAACGTAAATGGAAAAGGTACAGTTTATTCTTATTAAACATATAAATATAATTAAAAAAATGTACTGTTTTATTAAAAATAAGGTATTTCATTATTTCTGCAATATTATGACTTAACTGTGTGTGAATGTAAATATGGTCAGGCGTACCACAAACGACCAAAACAATTGATTAATAATCCTTTATTTTTTATATTGTTAAAAAATCCATACCCCGCAAAACGGTTCCTCATCTAGTTTTTTATGAATCTGGTAATATGGCACGATAATTGAGAATCGCGAGTCGCCACAAAAAAATACACTACATTGATTTTGCACAAAATATCCTTAGAAATCTGATTTTTGTACAACCACAATCATTCGAAATCTATTAAAATCTTTGAAAAATCAGATTTTATGTTTTTCTTTCTATCACTTTTGCACAACTCTCAAATTATGCAACTATCTCTCTCGTTCTTATGCTGCCAATGAAGAGGAAGGAAATCCGGCGAAGGAGAAACCGGTGGAACCAGGAGACCACAAATCGCCACCATGACATCCCCTCTCCACCCCCCTTTTGTCATCTTTAGCAGCCCCACCCTCAATTTCCCCTTCTACAGTTGAGAAAAACCACCCAAGTACCCCCCAAACTACAAGCTGTAGCTACGAATTTGTTCCGCTCGGTTGCTGCTGTAGGCGACGAAGTAAGAGACCCAAGATAGGCTCGCAGGAGATCGACTGTCTAATTTCCCCCTTGCGACTGTTCAGACACCGGAAAGTCGACACCCTCCTTCTCCCTCGTTCTTTCCGTCGAGCATTAACATCTAAACACTCCACCACCGATCTGCCTCTTTTCCCTTCGTATTTCTGCTGATCGGACCGCAAAGGAACAGCCTAGAGACCGTCGTTGCAACTCCTAGCCGCAACAGTCGACGACTCCTTCAATTTCCTTCCTTCTCTTCTCAATCGAGTTCCACTGATGGCCCTCCTTGCTACGATCGTCCATCTTCTCTGATTAAACATGAACCGGAGATCGACTCCCTTCCCCTCGCGATTTGTTGAGCCACCGCCGGAGCTCCACTGATCCGTTTTCCATTTGTTCTTCCACTGATACGATCATTTTCCTTCATCCCCGATCAGACGCAAGGACGATGACCCTCTCCCACCTTTTTTACATTTGATAAATTTGTCAAAATCGGCCCTTACATATGTGTTAATGATTAAAAACAATCCCTTTGGTACATTCTAAACAAATCAGTCCCTTTCATAAGTTATAAAAGACCCAAACTGGTTTCTTTTGTTTAAATTATTACAAAACAGATCTAGTTTGTGTTAATTTGACCAAACAATCCCCTTTAGTTAAAAACATTTGAAAAACAGTCCCGCGGATTTGTTTTAGTTCAAAAGAGATGTCAATATGTGGTTTTTCACAAGAAGCTTCAACGAATGAACCAACTACCAACTGCAGACAAATCGATATCACACATCGAATGTGAGTTTTTATGGTCCCTCTTTTACGGTTTTAATATTTGGGGGAGAATATATGTGTGTCTATTAAAGTCTTGATGATTTTCAAGTTTTATATACAAAATAGCATCATACTTTATTATTGGTCAAAAATTTATGAAATAGCAATCTAAAAGTGTGATAAATCATCACTAAATCAATTAAGTTAAAGTAGATTGTTGAAAGTTGATATATTTATACTTTACGTGAAATATGAATATAATTATTAAGAAAAATCACAAGATTATAAGTAAATTGTTATAATAACACAATTGATATTATAAGTCTCAAAAATAAAAATGATCAAAAATATTAATCGCATGCAAAATGAAAGTACATTGACATATTTGGTAGAAAAGTCGTATAATTAATAATTAAAATTATCAAAATTTAACTTTTAATATATATATATATATATATATATATATATAATATATATATATATATATATATATATATATATATATATATATATATATATATATGTATATATAAAAGTTATGTAAAAATGAATGCAAAATTTATTAATATAATTTATGTTAATTAAAAGTATAACTCCTTTTATTGAGTTATGAATTTTTATTGCAATAAATAACATGATCGATTTCGGGACTTAAGAGTCGTTATTTGCGAAATATTATATTGTATTAATCACGTGAATTATAAATATCATGGAAATTGTTGGTTTCACGTTGGTTGAAACATGGAAAAATGTTATAAAAGCATCCGTTATGCTGCCCAATTTTCGTCATAACACACAATAGAATTTTTGAAATCCGTTAAGTCTTACGTATCTCAAATACTAAAAGACTTCAATCAAATATTATTCCTAAACAACAAAATCATAAATATTCAACAATCTTATAACAGGAAGTTTAGGACTAGGATGCCCAGACACATTGTTAGGATCCAATACTCCATGGTCTCCCTGTAGGTGTCACGTTGTTTCTAAAGCCATATGAGTTAGGTTCGTTTCGTAAGCCATTTTGGCTATGTTGTTGGGTATACTAAGACTGTGTGTCTTGGTGGAATACCTTTTATTTTCATAATCATTAATCCACAGAGAATGACTAACGACAGGTATAAGTGTCATACTATTGATCTTGTACGGTTAGACCGCCAGCCTGGAGTTCCTAGCTATAACTACATCTGAAGAGACAAATTTTTGTGGTCAACGTTAGTACCATTGAAAATTACCACGTGTTATAAAGGGTGAATGACTTAAGCATGCCTTATTATGGAGCCGTTGAAAAAAGTGTGGTGTCATAAGTTCGGTTATGAGTTCATCATAAAATCCAAGTTTTGTTTTGTTACCTTATAGAATCGACATTTGGTTTATACATTGTTTTCGTTCACTTATTCCAATTGAAAGAGACTGTATGTAGTAGGATAGTTTGAATTCAAAACGATAAATATGACTACCAAAAATTAAGTAAGAAAACAATTAATAATTACTACGACACAATCTTACATGTTTTATAAACTCAAAACATATGTGTTTTACATATAAGCCATACCAATTCATGTATGAAACTTCAGGAGTAAAATTGGTTATTTTATGTTCTCATAAAGGGGAATATACCTTATTTTTATATAACTTGGTATTCAAAATATCTAAATAAAAATGCATATTTTTTTATATAAGTTTGACTTATATGTATCTTGCCAAATTTTGTACTTTTGGATTTGAACGCATGGTGTTTCTAAATGAGACCAAATACACTTTTAAAACTCATCTATTTTATACTTTTGATAGAAAAGTAACTATTTATAAAAGCTGGTCAACCAGCTAAATTTTATAAAACACTTTTGGATATAAAAATACTTTGTGTCAAAACCTGTAGAACTTACCAACAATTTTGTTTACGTATCTTAATTCATGTATTCTCTAGTTATTTAGCAAGTCGGAAGTGTTCGTTCAGAAGACTCTCCGTTATTTATATTATACCTTTGTAAACGCCGAATTGTTAGGCGCATGTCTCGATTTAGCAATAGTCATTATCAATGTAATTGTTGAGAGAAAAACTTTTGAGAAACACTTGAACAAACGTTAGTACAAGTTAAGAATGCGAAATAAGTTAATCTCAAAGGATCATAAAAGCTCAACAATAATAATAAGTTAGATTTGTTAAATAGTTAGTTGCGGAAATGTAAAGTGCGAAAAGTAAAGGAAATGTAAATGACAACAAGTTATATATCAAGTAAACACTAAACAGATTCTTAACAAGGTTTGGATTCAAACACAAGTTAGTATATGAGATCAGTTAAAGTGAAAGTAGTCTCGAAGACTAGTTGAGATAAGAACACGATCTTATATTTGGAGTGAAAGTTAAGAAAGATCGTTAGATTGATAGTAAGAGATAGAAGATAAGAAGAGATGTGTATTCAGAGAAGTTCAAGGGTGTTCTAGAGGTATTTGATACATGAAGATGAAGACTCTATTTATAGAGTCTCAAAAAGTTACATTGGAAATAAACAAGTAATAAACTTCTGACTTAACGTGACCATGGAAGGTTCACTGGATAAAGTAATGCAAATAAGACAAGTCAGATAATGTAACTAAAATCTTCATTGTGGATGGGAAGCTGCGGTAGACATCTTCAGAATGCGGTTGCGGTAGCAAAAGAGATTGCGGTTGAAAAAACTGATTGCGGTAGGAAAAGTGGTTGCGGATCGTCAAGTTTAAGAGGGTCACTTTATGTATCAACATTTTCCCCCAAAGTGACCTCTTCAACTTTTCTTCGTCGCTTATCAAGTTTTGGGAATTTGATGAGAAGCCACCAAAACTTCCTAACTTCGCCAAGCCATTGAATTCTCCTTCTAATCTCAAACTTCACTTCATCAGTTGTATTCTTGGATCTCTGAACCGAAGCTAGAGTCATATCCAGTTGTTTGCGGGTCAGCCAATGCATTGCGGTGATCGGGATGAAGTACTTGAGATCACTGTTAACTCTTTTATACACAACTCCTAATTCCGGGAAGTTGGTTGCACCTAGGGACCTTTCTTGATACCCTTCAGTGAAAACTGGTGCAGGTTCGAGAGCTTGGAAATTGAATTTTTGGGCAAGCACATGATGAATGTCCGCATCGATTTTGGCAAAGTCACACACTATTGACTTGAGAAATTCACAAGCTTTCTCATGAGCAATCATCATCTTCGGGTGCTTCTCGGCCTTGATTTGAAAGACTCTTGCAATCAGAAATACTTCTTTGGGATTCATGCAAGGAAAATCAGCTTGAGTCCTGATGTAATCATCACCTCTTCTTGTAAGTGTATATTAAACAAAATCCGTCTTCATGAATTTCCTTATCTTGTAGCTTTTCACCGCAGAAGGTTTGTCATTAGACCATATGTTCTCAAAGACAGATCCATGCTTGGCATGAAATTGATTTAGTCGTTCGAATTCGAGAGGCAG